AAGTGCTTGTGCGTTTAACTAACGATGGGGTGTTTTCGAAGGTCTGGTAGGGGAAGTACTGTAACCAGACGTCGCTATAGGCTCTGAAAGGGGCAAGATAGCCTCTTTGTCACCAGCCGAGGTATGCATGATGGTTCAAAATCGTTCCGCGCAGCCTGGGGCAAGTCCGTGGTGCATGTGTAGGGGTAGAAGGGGGAGCGGGGGTCCCAACCTTGAATATTGAGATGGATAGTTCCGTGGTTTTGACTCGGCTATAGGACATACCCCTATCACGAGCTATTCGAATCTGATGAAGCCGAAAGATTTGGCATACGGGTACAGGATGGGGTGCCGGAACGGTAGCGCCTCGGGGTACTCGTAGTAGCGGAGGTGAGGGTTCGCTCTCGGGAACCCGGAAGTCTGAGCGGCTCGAGTGGGGAAGATGGCGGAGAAAAGGAAACAACCCTGTGCCGCCACCCGGTAGCTTGGCTTCCAGGTGGTCCGGGAAATTTCGCGCCCGTTGGCTGGTTGGACTTTGATGGCGGTTAAGGCAGTGACTATCTCATTACCCTACAGGAGAGAGACCCCAAACTACATCGCATCGGCAGACGCGTGTTTGAAATTCCGGTATCATACCGTTACCCCAGCAACCGAAGTCTTTGAGATTACCAATTCGAGCACACTAAATGATGCGGATGCACGAGTAACTTACTTGGCAATTCCACAAATATCCGGAAATCCTGGCATTTTTTTGGCCGTAACTTGCGCCAAGCCGCCGCTCCACATTTCCGGATACTTTTGGAATGGCCAAGTAGAGTTGTTGAGCTCATTGGTTGAAGAAGTCTTCGGCTCTTCTCCGCTTCTTTTCCCAATCAATGGCCGTCTCTCTTCATGCCCAAGAAGTTCATACGGTAATCTTACCCGAAAAATTAATCAGTCACTCAGAGCCCGTGCTGGCCGCGCACAGCTACTAAAAAAAATGTCACAATACCCCTACCTCGTAGCGATCAGATGATAAAAGTACCTGTATTATTCCGTGGGGGCCATGCAAAATTACCCACTCGGGTCGTCACGAACAAGGGCGGTGGACTCATCTGCGGGAATTCCGAATAGAAACAGGACAAGTAGTATCGGAGGTCGCACAAGGCTGGCATGTTTAGGGTATCCGTGCAATAGCTCGGCCGTCTGGCGCCTACCCGTTCCTTGGACGTTCGTCGTTACGCCGCACCGACCAGCGTATGATGATAGAATTCCGCAGGCGAACCGTCAATCCGTCTCGTTCAACACGCCCACGGTCCGGTCGGATGGCTTCCCGGCCCGCCGAACCGAGCTTAACGAAAGCCGGTCTCGGACTTGTTACGGAGGAACAGGTTCCGCAGTGCGGTGACTAACACGTAGCGCAGCGATGAGCGATGTACTCGAGTAGGTGTGCATTGGAACGGGTGAGCGGAACGGGTACGGTACGGAACGTGTTGTCCTGTTTGTCTCCACTAACTCTAAACTAACGGTAAAGACAAATTGATATGTGAAACAGAAACGAAGCCTTCCTATCCTTCCATACGTCGCTATGCACATCGCTCTTCCTCCGTGCAAGTCCATGTTCCTCTACACACTCCCCTAATACCAAAGGAAAGAAAGATTCAGAGAAGCCACCCCGCAAATCACTGAACCTCCGGAAAAATCAACATCGCTCCCAAACAATCAGTTGTATGCCTCTCACTTACATAATCATGCACAACATCCCATATTTATTCCATAACCGCTAGCAGAACTCTTACCCTTAGCGTCGACCATTCATATTGCAGTGGACGCCCATATCCCCTGCGGCCCGGCCCAGCCCAGTGTCAGTCGTAAACGCATTGAGCAACTGGATCATGACACCCCACAATGAGGCCGAGTCCCCGCCCGGGGTCCTTCTTTCGATGAGTGGGTGGATGGATGACCGCCGGGTGCGGGTTGTAGGGAAGATTGGGAGTGTAAGTTTATATGCTTACGTAAATTGCCGTGTCTAGCTGAGCCATCGGGGTATGGGAGGAAGAAATGTTTTTTTTCTTCTTTGATGCTGAATTACTGGGATGAGGTGCGCTTGGGGAAACCATGTGGTTGGGATGATGTGGGAGGGGGGGGGACGTGCTGTGAATTCCGGATTCGTGATGACACTGACCTGGTAGAAAGAAAACACCTGGATAATCAAATAATAATAATAATTGCCAACGTGTAAGTAATCTATCCAGCGTACATTTCCGGGAATATACCATGCTCTATGGAATTTCCCACTACCGGGAACTACTTTCAATATTTTGAACTTGCCTTAATGTTCTGTTCCTTCCGCTTCCCTGCATGTCCCGGGTATGCCCATCGCAAGGACCGATATTGTAAATATGTGGAGATATCCGTAGGCATTTGCAGACATCCGCCCGTACTTGGAGATATTTACGAGAGTCTCAAGATATCCACGGATATCCGGGGGGATACTTGGGCGTCTTCGGGCATCTGGGGGTATTTGCAAGCATCTTGGGATATCTGCTATGCATTGACAAGATATTTGCTAACTACACGAAGCATACCGAAAGCCTGCTGGCGCCCCTAGGCGCTGTGGAGATGGAAATTTGGCTCTGATTGTTTTACAATACCCTGATTTGTGTGCCCGTCCCTGATTGTTTTGTTAGGGTTTAGTAAGGTTTCTAGAAGTTTCTGGGAGTGGCTGTTATGAAAAGTTTTGTTGTGGGCAGGTGGTCCTGAAGTGTATATAAGGGGCCTTTTCACACCTGTCCTTTCTTCATAGGAACATCGAGAATCGAACCTTGAACACGAACGAACATCAAACTATGAACTAAGAAACGTAAAACGACCTTCCAACCAACCTTGCGAGAACCAGAAAGACTTCGCTGAAAGGAGCGGAGGAAGAAGGACCGCAGTATTTGGGAATGGGGGAATAGTTATTCGAGAGCAGCTAAAGAACTATGCTGTCATTCCGTTTTTCCATCCATGTAGCTGTCTATTTTCTTTTCTTTTTCGTGTGCGGCAAGCGAAGCTCCTTCATTGTTTCTCTCTTCCGCTCTTGGCCCCGCCCGGAATCGTCATTTTCAATACCACAAAGCCGGGCTTACGAATGCCCAGGTCGATCTCCCTTTGACCTCCCCTTGCCGGGTTGTGTATCTGTCCGATGTCCGTAGCTCGGTCCGGCCGCGTGCAAACACTTCTCTCTCAATAATTCCTTTCTCATATTCTCTCCCCCGTCCTCCACTCTTCGCTTTTATTCTATCCATTCCACTTTGCCTCTCTCTTCTATTCGCCTTGCTGTTTATCATGTCTTCCCAACAGTACTTTTTCCCTCGAACGGCCTCTCACTTCCAAGACTTCAAACCGCTCTTCCACAGTTTTTTTCTTAAGATAGAATGAGCTAAGGTTACCACATTTTTACCGGTAAATAAAATCAGGCATCTGCGGTATCGTACATGAGAGAAATAGACAGAATAACTACAATTTTCACGAAGAATATACTCAAAATCTATGTGATTATAGCTGCCCAGTGGGCGCCGACTTTTTTTGCAATACACTAGATAACGGCTCCTTGTGTCTAACCTATTATTCTATACTCGTACATAGTGTCGCAGCAACATGGCCGGCTTGGTGACACCCGTTACGGTGTTGAGGTGGTCCACTAGTCCCCCGAACAGGCAGCGGGCAGGTTGTGACCGCAAGGAGCTGAGAAAGCATAACACATTATTTCCTATGGCCAAAATAAAGAAGGAGAGACAGACATTAAAATGCCAAAAGGTAAGGAAAACTGAAAATGCCCCAACACTTTCCTGTAAGTTGCTTCACTCCTGAAAATTCAACAGCTGGCCAGGCCACTCATGGCCACTCACACACACTCTCTCTCGTTCGTCATCCATCCACCTAGTCCGGCCCGGTCTGCCGTTGTTAACCACATAGATTCCAACTGTCGCCCCTGCCCGTTGAACCACCTCCGTCACCTCTAGTCCAGCCTATTCCCATGGGTTGCTGAGAGGGATGGGGTGAGCACTGTGGAAAGGGAAGGGAATAAAGGGGTTTTTTATTGTTCTATAATGTTCTGGTACCTTTTCTGCTTGCTATCCATCTCTCGGACAGAGTGGTGGCTCATATCGAAAAATATCCCCCTCATTCCTCATGAGGACAGAGTTTCTCCCTAACTCCTTTTCTTCTGGCTATCAGTCCAGTTCATTTCTACCTATATTCCCCGGCCAGTGACGCTAGGGTAACAAAATTAGATTCAACTCCTTGACAAAATACCGGTATATCGTTCAAAGCACTGGCGCAGTAGCCATACGATAAGAAGATAGCGATATCAGTTATTTTAAGTTTGTATTCCAAACATCGCTAAGGGCCTTTGAACCACTGTAAAGGGAATCTCTCCCGCATCTATAGACAAAGATTCAAACCGGCTTAAAACAAATAATACACCCATTCTATCCACAAAGCAATATATGCCGAAAGAAAAAAGGAAAACTTATTAATAGGATATGATTCTCTTTCAACACTAGTTTAACTCGCCCCAGTGCCGCCAAACCTCGAATGACTGAGCCCCGAGTAGACAAAGTACCGTGGCCTCTCTCTCCCTGCAGAGATCCGAGATCCGAGAAAGACCACTACCCTACGAGAAAGGCTGGCCGGCTGCCTTCCACAGTCACATACCGTACAGACAACATGGAAATAGACGAGACACGAAAGGAATATTTGTAAAGACTAAAAAAGCTAAAGTCCGGGGAACACAGGACTCTGGAAAATATTCTTGTGAGCAGTGGTGATCTTCAACGCAGCCGAATTGCCTGCGGTGTGATGGGTCACTATGCCGGTCTGCCACGCCTGCGGGGGACTACTCTCCGCCGCAAATAACCGGCAACACGCCGAGCAAATTGTGGCAGCTAATCGACTGGGTTTCCGGGCAGTGTCCACCCCGCATGCCGTTGGAGTCGTAGCACCGCAGCCAGGTCGTCGGCATTATGTTGGGTTTCGGGATGGTCGGGCCCAAGAACCTTGCTGCACCCCTGAAGTGCATGCCGGTACATAGTCTGTGATCCGGTGTACTTTCCTTGGATTCGAAGCACACGAGCCAGGTTGCTAACACTTATTAGGGTGTCTGGATGGTCAATTCCAAGAATGTTCTCCGAATCCTCGAGTGCGCGCCGATTCATCCACTCTGATTCATCGTACTTTCCTTGGGATTCTAGCACAATAGCTAGGTTGTCGACACTTGTCAAGGTGCTTGGGTGGTTTGGCCCAAGAACCGTCTCGCGCCCCTCCAGTGCACGCCGATTCATCACCTCTGATTCATCGTACTTTCCTTGGGATTGTAGCACGAGAGCCAGGATGCAGACACTTAAGAGGGTGTCTGGGTGGTCAGGTCCAAGGATCTTCTCGGAACCCTGTAGTGCACCCCGATTCACCGCCTCCGATTCACCGTACTTTCCACCACGTAGTAGCGCCAGGGCCAGGCAATCGAGAGCCAGCAAAACGATGGGATTATCCGGGCCCCATAACCCCTCAATATCCTCCAATAACCCTAGAAGATTCTTCTCACCCTCATCTACCTTTCCCTGAGTTGCACTTGCCCTCCCCAGGAGCGTGGCCCTCCTTGCACCTTCCTCATCCCAGTCATACCCTTTACTCTCTTTCCTCAGCGCTATACATCGACGAAATTGAACTTCTGCATTATTGTAGAAACCAATACGCATAAGGCACTGTGCCACGCGAAAACAAAGCTCTTCGGCCATTGGATCCGTTGAACTTTTCGTAACTAAAAGTGCCTGTGGAATGTATGCCCAAACATCTCTCCCGTGCTCCAATGCCGCGGGAACAGCTTTGAAACCACTCCCAACGCAGTTGCCCTCCATCGACTCAATGCCTCTGTCGGTAAATACACGTGTAATGACAGTTGAACCAAGCGATGGAGCTCGTAAAACGTCCCGTCCTGAGCTTTGGCAGTCGTAACTAGCGAAAATCCCAACAGTTTTCCAATCGCCTGGCGAAATTTGATTGGATCATCCGTTCCTTCTAAACCACTCTGATTCAATAGCTCCTCCGGTATGTTCTGAGGATCAAAGAATGAAATTAAACGTAGAAGTTCCGCTGCTAGGGACATCTGCCGTGAGATTCGGTCAAATGTGATAAAGTACGTGGCCAGGATGCTTTCGGTCATATCCGCCTCTCGTTGGATATTGCAAAACGGCTGTGAAAGTAGTCTTTTCGCTTGTTCGTCGCTTCCCCGAAAAATGGTCAAGTATATGGATGGCAGTGTGTGGGCTTCTGTCATGAAGGCTGCCGCTCCTACGATAGCCAGCGGGATGTGGTGTAGAGAGCCCAAGATTGATGCGATGGCCTCATTATCCTCTTCTCCCAAAGTGTTCCTGTTACTGTAGCGTTTCAGAATCAACGCCACGGCTTCATCCTCTCCCATTTTTCCGACATCAATCCTTTCGCAATCCTGCCAAGATGCAACCCGGAGCGATCTGGTGGTGAATATTAGAGTACCCCGTGGGCCTTGTGGTACAAATTTGGAGATGGGACCGCTATTTCCAATAAAGTACTCCTCGTCGTTGTTGGAAATCCAAGCTGCTCCCCACACCTGCCCGGTACCTTCCCCTTCCCTTTCTCCCTGTCCTCCTCATACCCTTCCCCCCCCCCCCCCCTTCTCCCCATTCCCATTTCCTATCCCCCCAGTCCCGCCTTTCTTTCCTTTTCACCTTGTTTGCTAGTTTGTTAGTTTTTCGGAAGAGCGCTGCGGGAGCGCACAGCGGAGCGCCGGGGAAGGAGAACGGTGGCGGAGCGCTGGGATAGCGCGGGAGATAGCGTACGGCGGAGCACGGGAGAGCGCAGAGGAAAGGCGAAAGTGAGAGTGCGGTGGAAGACCGCAGGAAGGAGCGCAGCGGAGAACTGCAGAATGAACGCGGTGGAGGACCGCAGGAAGAGCGCGGGAATGCGCGGGGAGAAGAAGCGCACGGTAGAAGCGCAAGTTTGTATTTCTTTCTTTGTTAGCTTCTCTTGTTTGCTCGGAGCATATGGGGGGCTCACCTGATGGGAGGGGGACACGCGAGTTTGCTTCTTTCCTTTGTTAGTTTGTGTGTTTGCTTGGGAGAGGGAAGCGGAGGACTTACCTTGGGGGGGGAGGTTAGGAGAGACTGAGGTTTGTCGGGCGTCGCCCGTGGTTGATATATTCTCCTATGTTCGCCATTAGTTAGTATGAGCATGCGATAGTGAGGGGGTGAGAGAGTGAAAGTGAAAAGTTTTTTGTCTTAGCCTTGTGCGATCCTTTTGCGTGCTTAAGCTGGCCTCCGATTGGCCATTGCGATAGATCCCTGTTCGTTCGCCGATGCGACCGCCGTTCCACCACTCGTTCAACAGTCGTCGGCATTGTCGATAACTAGTATCCAGTCACCACTGTCTGGACCTTCAAACCACCTCTTTATACTAGCTAGTAATTCCTCTTGGCCTGTCTCGGCACTGCCTCGGGGAGCTCGAACATGCTGGGCAATAGCTCTGGACCCCTCGCTGAATTTTTGTGCCTCACCCCCGTGCACCCAGAAAACATGACAATCACTCTCGCCCGCACGCTGATAAACGTATTCGAGGGTAATTTGGGTTTTTATAAGTAGTGTTAGTAACCTTCCGAAATACTTGTAGCGATAATGAATACACACCTAGAGCCGCCCAATCTATGAAGTGCGATCCGGTTCTGGCCACTACCCTCGGAAAGCCTCTTCATCAACTCAATCAGATCTTTACGGCCCATGAACTTGCTGTTTCTGCGATAAGGAATTATCCGATAAGGCCTGGATGCTTCTCCTAGTTGTGATAGGACATTAGATTTTGGCCGGAAATCTCTCGTGAAAGCTTACGATACCTCTGTCCCCAGCTCCAAATACACACCCCTGATGTATCCTTCCGAGATTCATAACATGGTTCAGGTTTCCCGTGTTCCAGCTGCCAATATTATTACTACTAAAAACATTGTGGTCCTCTGAATTCCCGTTGGAGTTTCCGCTGATATCGGCCTGCGATTCTCTGGGTAGATTGTTAGGCTGGTGCTTGTTATTTTTCAAACCGGGGACATTGAAGAAAATAGGAGCACACCTATCCATCAAGTGCTCGCGTATTTGACTAACTGTGAGGGAGTTTTCGAAGGCCGTGTAAAAGAAGTAACCTGATGTCGTTATAGTGCCTGAAACGGGAAAGATAGGCTGTCTGTTGCCAAGCGATGTATGTAGGATAGTTCGGAATTGTTTCGCGCAACCTGAGACAAATCAAAGGCGAGGTAACTTGTAGAACGGAAAGCAGAGGACTCAACCTTGGATATGGAGATGGATAATCCTCCGGTTTTGAGGCAGCTATGGGATGTACTCCTATCGCGAGCTATTCAACTTCGGTGAAGCCTAGTGGTTTAAGATAAGGGTACAGGATGGGTATCAAAGCTATAGCATCTCGGGGAAGTAGCAAAGAAGGAAATTCACACTCGGGAACTCTAAAATCTTCGTAGCATGCGGGGGGAAGACTACGGAGATAAGCAGACAACACTGTACCGCCAGGCGATCCTCAGGTGGCTGGCTTCCTGGCTGTCTGGGAAATGTCCCGCGAATTGATTGGGCTTTGGTCGTGGTGAAAGCAAAAAGTAGTGACTAGCATGTACTGTACTGCATCTCTCGTTACACTACATGATACGGGAGATGATAAGCCAACGACACCCCAACTGTATTGTAGGAGTGGACGTGCATTTTGGAATACTGGTACTCCATCAGCTGAAGCCTGTCGGAATACTGAACCATTTTAGCGATACATGGACGGAGTTGCTTCGCCTATCGTTGGAAGAAGACTTTTCCTCTTACCGCCCACTTTTCTCAATAAAAGGCTACCCTATCTTCACGACAAAACAACCTTATAACCCCACCTAAAAAGGGCAATTAAAGATCTAGGATTCGACCAACGCAGACCGCGAAGACTATGAAAGGGCGCAAAATACCCTAGCATTGTAGCGATCGTCTTGTACTCGAGTACTTGGGTACTTTCGGGAGGGCCATGGTCTTGTGTCCGTACGCGCCAGGGTGGGGGATGCATTCGAGAGAATCCCCAATTAAAATAGGACAAGTTTTACTGAAGGTAGCTCGAGGCTGGCATGATTAGGGTATAGTGCAAATCGAATCAAACCGGGACCTCAAAACTAGGCAAACGCACTGTGGAATTAGTTAACAGCAACACCAAATTTGAAGGAAAAAAAACCACAGGGAGATCGACAATGCTGGGCAGAAGAAGCTGGTGGTTTTTATTTTTGAATTAAAAAATTCTATGAGATGTAATTCCAGCTCAAAGTGCTAAATTTTTGGTGAGAGTGAAACAAGTGATAGAATCTACCTACTGACAGACTGGAAAATACTGTAGAGTATAAATGACTGAGACATAGAAATAATCAGTAATTAGTATGACAGGCATAAAAAATTCTAATTCTGGTTAATCCTCTATTCTACACATTTCCCTTAACATGTTATTTCATCTTACTCATCATGTCTTGGCAATTATTGGCCCAAACCCGATCGGTTACAATGGAATTGCAGTTTCACCGGAGGACCCGCCTTTAGGCACTTTGCACCATACCGTATCGGTAAATGTCCGGCGAATGGGGTATTACAACTCAAGTCATGGGAAGCTCCGACTCTACCCCCCCCGATGGAGAGAGAAATTTTGACGGCTTCGAATCCGACCGGAGACCCTCCATCCCGTCGGCCATCACCCTAAAAATTCTCAACCTTACATGGGCCAATCCCTCTCTGTACCGACGCCACATGACAGCCGGGGAACATACTGGTAAACACTATGGTCGGAATAGAAGGTCTTCGCACCTAGTGTTGTTCACGAGCCGGCTCGAGAGACCCCTGGACTCAAGGGCTCGAGCCCAGGTCGCACCCAGACTCGAGGACTCGAGCCAGGCTCGAGCCGCCAAGAGGCTTGAGTCTAAAGTGGCCACGATACCTCTACACACTGCCATTATCACTCAAATCAACCAAAAATTGTATATAGCAACTTGAAAACATATACAACTAGCCAAATGGCCTTCCCACTATCCCCGAGTCCAATTCCTGACTCGAGTCGTCTCGTGGACCCCTGTTCGAGCCGGCTCGCGCCTAGTGACCACCTAGGCTCGAGTCCACTTGGCTTGAGGCCCCCCAGGCTCGAAGGGCTCGAGCCCGGCTCGGCTCGAGTCTGGCTCGAGTCCGCTCGGCTCGTGCACAACACTATTCGCACCGGTCGCCCCCCTTCAGCAACCAGAGCTGGCTGTTGCGGTTGATTTATAGTACAGTACTCGAGTCTGAGTTTCAAAGAAGGGGTTCGAGGGAGGCTGAGTCGGGGCTTCTGGAAATGGCGATTC